GTAGCTTTTTTTCCCTTCTGCTTTTTTCATGTGAGCAGTAAGGAACTATGGTGGCTTATTTATTGGGCAGTAAATGTATTCGAGACACTACCCTTTTAGGATAATGAAAACCTCAAAACAGGTCAAACACTTGAAGTGGTAAGTACTGATTGCATCATGGAGGTACGTACTATGCAACCAGCCTTCTTTGTGCTACTAATTCTGCAGCTAATAGATTTGGGGAATTAGTTAAGAAGGGAAGGGCACTAGAAAAAATGTTATTAACTGAGAAATACAAAAGGATGGCAGCAAAGAGAAGGTTGGAGTAAAATTACCAATTGAGGAAAAATAAGAGAAGACAGAAAAAATAGAGAAAGCAATTTATATAAGCTGGACTGGTCTGCACCTATAATATCAGGGTGGACCCTATGAAGTTGCCACGTTTTGTACACAAAAAAGATCTAATGGCAGCAATTTTATATGGTACAAACCAACACATTTACCGAAGCACTCAGGACTCCTTGTTACTACCTAATAAATGATACCCCCTAACTCGTGCATGAGTTTTGCATGCAAGTGTAAACTCTGAATGGCTTGTATTTGGAAGCTTTACACAGCAGTGTCCAATAGGGTAACTGTTAGGGTGTCAGACTCCATTGTGGACAAGAAACTCTTCTATTTTAATAGATTCAAATCCCTAAATTTCTTTTGATGGCTGTCAAGGTTTCAGAAGGCATCCTCAGTTTCCAGAGAAAGACTGGTATTAAAAATTTAAGACAGGAATTTAGAAGTGCTTATTTTGAAGTCTGAATAAAGGCAAGATTCAAAGGGCATAATGGAAAAGAAAAGACATGAATCGACATAATAACTAATATTTTAAGATGTTCAAGAAGACTCTTATAGAGACATAGGAATACATTTTTAAAATAACAGGAAGTGTGGCTATTAAGGCACATAAATAAACCTGTCACTGCAGTGACAATGTACTGGTGAAGTGGGACGGGAAGATGAAAAGGGGAAAAATTCAGGTAAACACTCCAGTATTTAAAAACAAATGGTGCGTTTGGATAGCTAATGTGATCATTTGAATTACAGCATGTGGTATTCTAAAACAGAATGCTGCAGAGTTGCCTGTGTGCTAGAAGGTGATTGGTTAAGCTTGTTCGATATTACTTAGGATAATAAAATATCCTTATCTGCATTTGGTGGGGGAGGGGGTAGGGAAGTGTTTATAGAAAGTGAGTATATGTAAAGTGATCAAACTGCTACTAAACAAGATAAGCCCACTCCTAATCACCAGGATTTCTTTCTGTTAACTAATCATAATCTGGAAAAGGTAGTGAGGAAGGGGACAGACAAAGTGCGGAGAGCAATGGGGGCGGAGGTGGGGTGGGGTCCTGTTTTGGTGAAGATGAAGGGTTTAATTAATCACAGGGCAAAACAGAAGTTGACATTTGCATCTCAATGCTGTCTCTGGTTATAAGCTGACCAAATGTAGATGAAGCCCACTGACAAATCATATTTCACCAATTTTAAGGTACATCTCCTCCCCTACGTTATAACATCTCTGAAATCAGAATGTGTCCTAGTCAATGCCATTCTGGATTTAATGATAAACACTAACTGACAGAGTTTAGCTAATGGTCACCTTTCTAAAAGTCACTCTGGTCCGACTTAAACCAGCCAATCAATTATCAGAGAATGTTAAGTTTCCTACACGATTCTGTAACAGCTACTAGTATCTTAGAAAATAAAAAACACCAGAGAAGGAGATGGTTTTAGTCATCTACATGTTTCTCATGCTTAAACACACCTCTAATTATGCCCTTTATCTGAACTAGGAATCTTGGAAAATAATGTACATTAAGAACTTTACCATTGGGTCCCCTGACTTTGTTACAAAGAATGCTACTGTGTATGATTCCTTTATGGAAGGAAATCTATGCAGATACAGAAAATATTCAGTATTTTAATATGTTGAACTACTGGTGGAACAGATGCTTGCCACCTGGGTAACTAACAACAAAAAGCCTAACAGAAATCTTTTAATGAATTTTATTGAAACGAATAAGACTGTTAAATATATTTCCATTTAAATTAATTAAAACTAAGTAAAATGGAAAATTTAGTTCCTCAATCCCACTAGCTACAGTCAAGTGTTCAACAGCACTGGACAGCACAGATACAGAACATTTCTCACTGCAAAGAATTCCAGTGGACAGTGTTACTCTAGATGAATAGTCTGAAGATGAGTTATAGCTCAGCTCCAATAAATCAGTTGCAAAACTAGATAAATTAATGATCTTCACCAAAACTTGCTTTTCTCATTGGAAAAATGAATATGTAATTGTTTTCCTACTCCCAGAGATGCTGGTGAGGATCAGAGGACAAACGGCATGTGATAGTGCTTTGAAAAGTATACAGTGGCTTGGCATTGTGGCTCATGCCTGTAATCCCAACACTTTGGGAGGCCAAGGTGGGTGGATCATAAGGTCAGGAGTTCGAGACCAGCCTGGCCAAAATGGTGAAAACCCGTCTCTACTAAAAATACAAAAATTAGCCAGGCGTAGTGGCGTGCGCCTGTAATCCCAGCTACTCAGGAGGCTGAGGTAGGAGAATTGCTTGAACCCAAGAGGCAGAGGTTGTAGTGAGCTGAGACTGCACCACTGTACTCCAGCCTGGGCAACAGACCGAGACTCTGTCTGAAAAAGAAAGAAAGAAAGAAAGAAAGAAAAGTATACAGTGCCATTAATAGGTTAGCTGCTAAGTTATATTTTTATATGATTTGCTTCAATAAACACACTTATGTTAGTTGGATACAATAAACACACTTATGTTAGTTGGATTTTTTTTACTGTTTAAAACCCCAAGTTTCATGGCTTCTTTTTCTTTCTTTTATTGGGAAGGGAGGGAGCTGTTTAAAAAAAGAGAAAAAAGAAAAACACACCTCCAGATTTTTTTTTTTTAGCAAACAAATGCTTATAGTAGCCACGTGAATAACAGAAATGAGTGAAGTGGGCTGCAATGAGGCTATGGCAAACTGGAGACCTCATGTTCTGTCTAAACTGCTTAGCTGCTACTCAGCTTCAGTCAATTGTGGCCATTCAGGAATGCTGACCCACCATAGCCACATACTGATTTTATTTTAAAATGCCAGAAATCTGGCTCTTTATAGGAACTCTCCACCTTAAAAAATATTAGCAACCATTTAGAAATTTGAAGCGCTCTTCAGGCAAATTAAACACATTTAGAGGTCATACACAGTTTGCGGCTGCTACGATGTGACCTCTGGTTTCTAAGACCCTATGGCAGCTATACTTCCTCCTACGTGGCTCCTTACCTTAGGATACTTACGAATAAATGCACACAATTTTCTGCTCATTTTACTTCATGTGAAATATATATAAGAGTCACAATATTACTTATTTTATATAAATTACCATTCTCCAGTATTAAGAAGTTATTTCTATAACTACTAAAATATTGAAAGGAAAAAAAAGGCAAGAAGAAAATTACATTTTTTTCTTGCATGATTTTATGTGCAAGTTCTACTGTAATTAAAGGAATTTTTTTTTATTGCTACTCCATTGGAAAATCACTGAAAATCTGGGGGAGAACTATAGTATCTTATACAAAAGCCAAAGTTCTCTACTGATGAATGAGTTTAAAAAGTTTTTTAAATTCTAATTTGAAAAGCTTAATGTCAGAAAGCAAAGCAACTCTTTTAAGTCTCCCAGTAATTTCAATGCTGTAAACTCAAAAACACATTCAATTTAAAAGGTTTCTATAATATATACTGAAGCATACACAATTTTTTATTCCAAGTATACTTAACTGTATTTTATTTTTATCACATGCCCACCCGAAGGAACCAGCAGTTGCAGCCTTTTTATTCAGTTGATAATTCAAATATTATTTCTAATACAAATATATGGTTTATCACGCTTATTTATCACTAACTTGCTACACTTCATAATCGCATTACAACCCCACTGTGTACTGAATACCACTTACAGTTCAAACTACTCAAGATAAGCACTGTTACTTTCAAGAGAAGATTGGCAGTAATTAAGGGTCTTATTTAGTAGTTGTTGGTAACCACATTTTTAAGGAGGAAAAAAAAAACAATAGAAAGTAGCATAGATATATTTAATTTGGTAATTGTATTTATTAATGAGGTCTATTTTGGACATTAACTGGGGTTAAAACAAAGATGTGCTAAACTGTTATCAATGCTATGAAACAGAATGAGATGGAAGTATTTTGTAATTCATCAATGAGAAGAATTGAAACATCTGTGACCTACATGGCATAAAACTAAATCATACTAGAACACTAATAATAATAATAACAACAATAGTACTTTGCACTTATAGACTGCCTTTCAGAGAAATTTCAGAGTGCTTTTTAAACACATGTTATTTTCCCTTTTTCATACAAATAAGACAACTAAATCAAAGAGTAATAATGGTTTGCCCATGCCACAAAGTGAGTCAGCGACAAACCAGGAATAGATTTTCTAACTTGCCCAGTCTCCAGCAATTATATCGTGCGATGATTACTGTTAGAGTATGTCTTGCAGGTTACACTCAAGACAGGTATCTTCAGATTTCTTGTGGGCTATTTTTCTCTCCCAGCCCCAGCCTATTAATAGTATTGTTTACAAACCTACATTGCCATCAGTATGTGTGCCTGCATGCCCCTCAACTGAGAGTCACATGGGGCGATAAGAGAAGACATCTGTAAGTCTCTTAGCAGTTCTTCACCTTCCCACCTTCATGAGAGCTTTCTGGAGCTAGCCTCCAGACATGCAAGATACATTAAAGGCTAGCCAGCCAAATAACACATCTGGAGTGGAGAGCTAAAACTGTGAATCACTAGAAAAACCTGCAGGCAGCTGGGCAGGGTGGCTCATGCCTGTAATCTCAACATTTTGGGAGACCAACACAGGCGGATCCCTTGAGTTCAGGAGTTCAAGACCAGCTTATGCAACATGGCGAAACCCTGTCTCTAAAAAAAAAAAAAAGAGAGGATACTCTGCAGGGAAAACAACTAGCTGTTATCATATGTATATAAATTCTGGAGGGCAAGGAGTATGCGCCTGGGTTGACAGTCCTCATTTGAAGTATGACTTTAGACTTTCAAACTCAATCCCACTAATATGGCAGAGCATCAGTTTGATTTATATAACCTAAAAGTTTAAACAAAGAAATGTCTAGGCTGGAATTTATGTAATCTTCTGGAGAGGCATGATATCACAGCACAACTCTATTAGTAATTGTCAGAAAGTAGACAAATTAAGGTGGGAAACTAAGTCCATGTCGAAGAGGAGATGGTATGGGCTAAATGTTTGATGAATGTATGGAAACGTGGATAGAAAATTTTTTGTGACACAGTTGAAGGGCATAATAGGAAGTAAATAGCAGAGAAAAGAGGATGGAGTCAGAAAGTGCTCTATTATAGAAAACATTAATTTAACATACAATTTATTAGGCTCCTATCATGAGGAAGTTGCCATCAGACATACAATAATGTATCAAGCATGATCCCTGTCCTCAAATAATTACAATGTAAGAGGGACAGTGCTTAAGAACTGCAGGGTTTTAGAGGACAAAGAGATCATTTATGGCTGGGAGGCCTTAAAGTATGAATTGAATATGAACAGAGACTGGGTCAAGGTTGGCTAACCGAGGCAGGGAAACCACACCAGCTGAAGGATGTGGGCACAGTGGAGTCAAGGTCTGCACAGGGACTGGAGAAGCCTCTAATTTGTGAGTACCAACAAGGTGCAGTCCTAATCCTTCTAGGCAAAAGGGAGTGATCTGAGACTATTGTATAGCTCCAGCATTTCAAAATTGGTAAGTGAGGCCAGCCAAGCTATTTCTCCTGCCTGGACACCCCAGGTAAGCCCAAGAGATGAGCATGGGACACAGGAATACCCTCCTAAAGCCTCTACTACTGCCATCCTGTTCCAGACTGCTTGGAGGACAGGCAACATTATGAAGCTGCAGAAGGCTGCTGTACCCAGGATCTAGTCAGCTGAGTGTCAAGGTAAGTAAAAAAGGACAGGAGGTGGGAAAGGTCTCAGAAATCCAAACCACAGAAGCTCCTAAATACCACATTTGGGTTAGCCTCCACCTTAACACCTCCCCAGTTATTCACCTAGTCTCCTCGAAAGATCCCCCAACCTCCCTGGCAGCCCCATTCTTTCTTTTATGATGCAAGTTAATGGGGAAAATAACATGTGCTTTATAGCCAATTTTGTTGAAATGCATTTATTTCATCTTCAGTTTGCTCATTACCAGAAAACAGTTCCTTCTTGCTTACTTTTCCCTAGCCTATTTTTCTTCACTTTATCTTTGATGCTATATTAACTTATACAGCATCATAAATGCTTCCTTTATCTAGGAAATAATTCTTGTGTTTGACTTCATTTTCCTTTCTACTGTCTGTTTAAATTGTTATCTAGATGCTACCCAGTCTCCCTTTCTATATCAAAGTCAAACTTAATGCATATTTGACAAGAAGCAATATTAAAGTTTGAAGAGTTTCACTAACTCAGAGATTCTCAACACTGTGGATGTGCATCAGAATCACCTGCAGAGCTTTTTAAATACACAGCCACCTGGGCCCCACCCTAGGCCTACTCAATCAGAAATCCAGCTTGTGCACTATTGTGTTTCAACTTCTGCCATTAAGTATGGAAAACTGAGAATTAAAGTCACTTCTGACATGATGCTATCTCCACAGATAAGAAAACCAAAACACAGTTATCAAGATACATTTTAAGCTCCTGCAGAAGAGGGACCATGCTTTTTTCATACTGTAACCATTTGGTAAATATGAATCGAGCATTTACTACATTTGGTGTTGTGCTAGATGCTGAGGATACAAATCTGAACAAAACATGGTCAATGACAGGCTGCAGAAACCAATTCAAAGATAGTTGTAACGCTAAGTACTATAATAGATAGTCGTTTAGACAAAGTGTTCTTCTCAGAAGTAACAAAACCAACTGATATTTACTGCATGCTTACTATGTGCCAGGCACTATCCTAAGCATTTTACATATTGCCTGTTTAATGTCCTAGACATTTTACATATTAGCCTATTTCCATATTATCCTGCTGAATTTAGAACCCTTTGAGGTAGGTGCTATTTCTTTCCTGTTTTATAGATGTACTCCAAGGTTACTTATCTAGTAAGGAGAAGAAAGCCAAAACTTGCAGCTGGGATTCTCACTCCAGAGCCTGAGTTTTTAATCACCACCCTACATTGCTTTTGAGAAACCCAGGCCAGTGCCCTTGGTGCTCAACAAATGCTAGAAGAAGGAAGGAACAAAACAACAAATATTTACAGAGGACTCACTAAAACTCCTTAACACAACAAACTAGAACTTTTGAATGTTTGTATGATTCCTTAAAGCCTAGGCAAAAAAACAAATATCATCTTTTCCTTTACTTCAGTAATGAGATCAGAAGTTAGGTTTTCATAGCTAACCCTTAAATTGATCCCCTCATTTCGGTTCCTCCAGTACCTAAAGCTTACATCATTTAAGCCAAACTAAAAATGACATTTTGAGGACACTGGTACCAAGAATTCCCACATGACTGCAGCATGTTACAGTGGCATTCTGCTGCAATGAAAAAGGTATTTCCTTAGAATTAGGCGAGAAAGAAAGGCAAATCTAAAGAGATGATATTTCAGGCTGAAAGAAGGAAAAAAGTTTCCTGATTCAGAGTTAAAGGCTGCTGCCAACAGCTTGTTTTGTTTCCAAAGATCAACACACAAAAGTTTCACAGAGCTGGAGGGAAAAGATTTGGATGCTAAGTTAGATGGGGGGCGGGGGGCATAATTCCCATCATTCCTTTGGGAGCAGTACAAAAATAACAAAACCTTTATAAAAGAGATGAGCAAGCTGGCTGTGAAAGGAATGACCCCTCACATATAGGGAAAGCAATTTGCATCTACAGATCTCATTGGTATAAATGACCTCCTTCAAAGAGTGAAAACTTCAATGGAAAGCCACTATATACCCATGAAAAGCTTTGCCGCCTATTTGTTGAGCTGTATACAGACTAACAAACAGGAGTGGTTAACCTGGCGCACCATGCACTATAGAGATATTTTTTTTAAGTAGGCTTAGTCAGCTAATCTTGTTGAGATTTCTCTCATACTACTGATTTCTTATTCTCAAAATAAATTAAGAGGCTTCATTCAAAATTCCCTGTGGTCTACCAGCTTGAGTTTGTTGGGTGTCTTTGATTGTCTCTTGTCTTTAGATTCCCTGCCTTGTCTCTTTAGATTTTGCTATGCCCTTTGGTATTTCCCGTTAGTCCATGTCTGGAATAGCTAATTACATGGTAGTGTAATTCCTGCCGCACAACAAGGAATAGCAGAACCTTGCTAATTCACACCAATGACTGAAAGACTCCTGTGTAAGTTACTGAATTATGCAAATGAGCAATAAGTGAAGAAAGATGATTCAAAATTGTATTTCATTCATTTATTTTGACAAGTGTAGTTTAGTCTTAATTATTTTGAAAATTTCTTTGTAGCATACTAATAAATTTACTGTGGCTTATTTGTTAAAAGTGATAAAGCTTTCACTGACGGAGACCAGAATGCACTCTGTTGAATAATTTCCTATAGACAGACTAATGTTCACAGTCTTTCTTTTATCGTGGATTTTACTGACTTTTCAGCATCGACATTTTTTGGTAAGACAATATATAACAATAAACTTGAAGAATTAGTTCATCAGTAAACATTTACTTCATAAACAGGTCTTACATGTTTAAACTTTCACCATAATATTAGCGAAAAAACCAAACACAACAAAAAATTAGCCATGCTTTAAAACATTTTTATATTTTTTCGTCATAATGCTAACATGGCTTTAATTTTTGTTGTCTAAATAAAACTGGTTTGGCCTGTCAGTCATCCCATTAATTCCAATTTCTATTTTGTTTTGTCTTACCACACTCCTTTTCTTTATCGTTAAAGACGTCTGTTTTAAGATAAGTGGATATATCACAGTATGTAACATTCTCATGTCAAAATACTTACATTATTATATTCTCAGTTAAATTATTTAAGATAGAAAAACATTTTGATATACTTTTGACAGATGTATCCTGTAGGATGGATCAATTTCTTTCAAAGCACCACCACTACAGTGGAGAGTGAAGAGAGAATACCCTTCAAGGACAGCAGGCCCAGTGGCTCACGCCTGTAATCCCAGCACTTTGTGAGGCTAAGACAGATGGATTGCTGGAGTCCAGCCTGGCCAACATGGCAAAACCCCATCTCTACAAAAAAATACAAAAATTAGCTGGGTGTGGTGGCACACACCTGTAATCTCAGCTACTGGGGGCAGGGGACTGGAGTAGGAGGATCGCTTGAGTCCGGGAGGTGGAGGCTGCAGTGAGCAGAGATCATGCCACTGAACTCCAGCCCAGGTGACAGAGCGAAAAAAATAATGCCCTTTAAGCTTACAGTCCTGAATTTAAAGCTTTGACTCTTAATAAGCACTTTTAGACTAAACTTCCAATTCAGACATGCTTTCAAATCATGATGCATTTGTCAAACGAGGTTCTTCCTTTATAAAAACAAGCTAAATAGAGCACTTAAAGAAAAGTGGGAAAGGCAAAACTTAAGTCTCAGACTACATATCTATCTGCATCTGTGCCTATTAAAAATCTCACATACTCTTTAAGACCCAACTCAGGAAATCTCCACCAAGAAACCTTCCCTGAGGTATATGCAGAGATCCCTCAGCAATTCATACCATTCCCTTGTACTTGAGTTATTTGTCTTCAAGCTGAGAAGTTTCCCTAATAAAGAACAGGGCAGCTGTGATACAGCAGAAAGAAAAACCAGGCTCGGACACTTCTAAGCTTTGCTACTTTGGGAGAGTCATTCATCCTTTTGGAGTTGTTTCTCATCTGAAAAGTGTCAACTACATACCTGTACCCAATGGAATTGTCTGGAAAATGTAAAAGATAATGGCTGTGAATGTTTTCCACAAAAGTAAAGTCCTATAAAAAGGAGGTATTTAGAGGTGAATGTACGAATAAGCAATCAGTCAGAAGTATTAGGACTTCTAGAAGCAATATCATATAGAACAGAGACTCAATAATACATATTCACTGAATAAGCTGGGTGAGGGTGCAGGACACAAAGAGGGGACAACCAGTAACAGACTTACACACAGACCTGCTTTTGTGACCCTATTTGAAATTACAATAATTTCTTAAAACAAGAAAAGTACATCAGTGTCTAAAATTAGCCAGCAAATTTTTCTATGTACTGGTTTAAGCCTTAAGCTCCAGGGCATGGTGCTAAGGCTTGCAGGGCTCACAGGCCAGGGAGAGAGAGTTTTCTAAGGGCCTTTATACAGGGAGAATGTAGTCAATGTTAATTTAACACAATGGTGGTCCACTAAGTCTGTCTAGTTACTGTCTTGTTAGCCACAAGGTAAGAGAATGCAGATGGATCTAAATCAATTCATGATAGCTACAGGAAGGACTGGTTTAAGAATGAGTCAAATTGATGATCCTTTCCTTTGTATACAAAGGGTAGCATTATATGAACAAGATAGTATAGCATAAAATAATAAATGGCACTGATTAATAAATAATGTGAATATCAACATCACTTCTTGGCCTGGGCCTACAGGGTTACTGGAGACATCACAAGGACATTTTGTTGTTGTTGTTGTCGTTGTTTTTGAGACGGAGTTTCGCTCTTGTTTCCCAGGCTGGAGTGCAATGGCATGATCTTGGCTCACCGCAACCTCCGCCTTCCGGGTTCAAGCAATTCTCCTGTCTTAGCCTCCTGAGTAGCTGGGATTACAGGTATGAGCCACCACGCCCGGCTAGTTTTGTATTTTTAGTAGAGACGGGGTTTCTCCATGTTGGTCAGTTTTCGAACTACTGACCTCAGGTGATCTGCCCGTCTTGGCCTCCCAAAGTGCTGGATTACAGGTGTGAGCCACCGCGCCTGGCCACAAGGACATTATTAGACTTCAAAAGTTATGGTTGATTCTCTTAGATAATTATGAAAAATTTATCAAGAATTATAGAGGATAATGAAGACGTATGCCAATTCATATGAAAAGCAAGAAAGCAAAGCAAAACAAAACAATGTCAGTTTCAAAATTAAATCTGTATGACAATTGAAAAGATGAGGACTTAAATAAACACTTTTAACCATTAAGGGCTATTCTGGCATGGCACAAACACTGGTAAAAAACAAACAAATAAAAAATACCAACCACCAAAACAAAAACAAAAGATTAAGAGGAAACGTGAGAGGCAGTGCTGTCTCACAGAGGGAGCACAAACACTTCTGAA